TATGATATGATGGATATTTTCCAACTGTACTTGAATGATATACACTTTTATGAAGGTTTCACAAGAAAAACAATGTGATTATTACATTCACCCTTATTATCGAGTCCCCCCTATACCCCATTGCAGTCAATGCCCATCAGTGTAGTAAGATGCCACAGAGTCCCTATTTGTCTTCTCTGTGCTACACTGTCTTCCCCGTGACCCCACACACACCTGTGCACCAATCATTATACCCCACAATCCCCTCCTCCCTCCCCACCCGTCCTCCCCCACCCCTCCCCTTTGGTAACTACTAGTGGGACTACCATCTTTTAAAAAGGAGGTACAGCTTATACTGTAGGATATTGGTTAAGGAGAAGGGTAGCAAGAGCTCTTTGTGAGGGACTGACTTTGGAAAGGTAGTTTATTGAAGTGAATTAAAATTGGAAGATGGGGAGAAGGAAGCCACCTCTGTTAGTTTAAGTTTGGAAAAGTCAGAATAATATTGAGCACTTGGGATGAGCCAGGCACGGGGTGTTAAGCATTTACACATATTAACTCATTCTTACAACAACCCCTTGAGGGATGTGAGTTTTATTGTTCCCATTTTACCAATAAGGAAACTGAGGCACAGAGAAGTTTAAGAGGCTAAGTTTTGTTGACCTCTATTTAGGTGAGTTCACCATTACCTCCAGACCTTTAACCCCATTGTAAACTTTGGCATGGGAGGATGGGATGGGCTAGGACAAGATAGGATGGGATGGATGGGATGGGACGGTGGTTATGGTGGGATTGAGAATAGGAACTATAAAATGCTTTGAATCATACCCATGAGTCGAGCAAAGCAAATCCCTGCACACACCTGAGCTGGAATTCATTCACTCAGTCAAGCATATACGCACTGGCACCCTATGCTCCTCCTCCACCACCATTCAGCTATGGCAAGACCTTGGCCACAATGTTGAAGGTTTATATTTTACTTTTAAAAGGGAAAGCATCTAATAAAAAGGCATTTATTGTTGAGACAAAATTACCCCTAAATCCCACTCACTCACCTCATATGTGTATGTTAGTGGACATTCGTTTTCTTATGCTTTTCCAATAAGCCTATAAAATTATGAGTTACTAGACTTTGAAAATTTTTTTAACAAGCGCCTGAGGGTCCACCTTATTTGGGACTCCTAGGATATATCCAGATATTTAAGGTCGATGTACATACCGTATGCTTTTGGAAAGTATATATTTTGCATCCAAGGCTGGGTGAGGTGGTTTGGAGTGCTTATGAACACTCAGAGTACAACTAAGCAAAGCTCAAATAGTTCCCATCTTTGGCTAAAAATAAGATTGTGAATCTATTTCCCAGTCTTTAGAGAAGCCCCTGTGATGATTTACCAAAGATACAAACCACTTCCCTTGTGAGAACATCATGCATTGAAGACGGAGCTGCCTGTAAATAAGCTTCAGAGAGCGCAGGTGCAGTCACTGCATATGTGGAGTGGCATTTGATGGCAGGATAAACACTGGTGAGAAAGGACTGGGAATCAGTTGATAGCAGGCACAGCCTCATCAGGGGTGTGAAGAATTTTGACACATATATGGAGAAAAGCACTACTTAGATTCTAGGTGTAATTGATACAGTTGAGGACAGGGAGTGGTTTTGTTCTAAACAGAGTATTTTAAATTATAACATAGTAATCTCAGTAAGTCACCTCATATTCCATATGTATATAATTCTTAGTTAAAAAGTAAAATAAGATCTGTACTATTTAGTGTACTTCATTTTACATTTTTTGACTACTGGTAGGCAAAATCTACTTTCCTGCTCTATCAAAGCATTTTTATACAGTGAAATTAAAGTTTATTGTATTTACCAAAATACGGTGTTACCTCCTTAGATTTACCATCTGTTATTCTTCAGGTGGCATTTTAAAAAAATGTCATAAAATATTATGTTCATATTTAGAACCATAACAAATATTGTGACAAATTCTAAGTGCTCAGCACTGTACTCTTTGATAAAAAACTAAGGACTAATTTAAAACAAGACAAAATAAATATGACACTTATATAGTACCACTGTGCATGTGGCATATCACCGTAGTATTCTTTCTTAAAACAATAATAGATTCCTGTAAATAAGCTTAGCCTGCAGGACATGTGAAATACCCACCAAATATTTGGTACATATTTATTTGCTCAGCAAATACGTTTGACTCCTTACTATGCAAGCAGGGAAGACAGATAAAAACAAATTAACAAAAAGGAATTACAAATTGTGGCACATGTTATTAAGGAACAAATGGACGCTCTTAATATAGACTCAACCAAATTATAAAATCTGGTTCATTTTCTTGCCTTGGTATTTCATACTGATACCTTTTTACATAACAGCTTAAAGAAGAGCTGATAGATGTGACCAAATTGTGTGTACACATTTATTAATACAACAGAAAGAAATTTACTGAATGCTTATATACCAGGCATTATGTAGACCCAAGAGAAAGAGCAGTGAACAAAATACAGTCATTGTGTTTGTGGTAATTTCACCGTAGTGGTAAGATGGTAAACAAATATATGATAAATGTGAGGATGATATGAAGAAAAATAAAGCAGCTTGTGAGGATGGAGAGTGGCTGAAGTACTGTTTTATTTAGGTGGACTGAGAAGGGGTCTCCGAAGAGATAAATGTTTTCCCCTAGTTTTCCTTTTGTCTCTTGGGTCAATTCAGTTAGTGAATGCAGGATGCAGGATGTTTGTATCTGTTGATCTCATTCACATTTTCATTAAGAGAGCTATGATGAGATTCTGCTTCTTTCCAGTTCTTCACTACTAAAACAGGTTAATACCTGAATACTTTTCTTCATGCCTTTACCATTCTTCCATATACTTTAATGCCTAAGCACCTTCATCCATCTGCCTATCCCTTTACCTTTTATTCCTAAAATACATGCTTTGTTATCTCTCCCAATTTTCCAAACTCTTGGGGTATGATTCATTTGATTAAAAATCATACCATACAAGTAAATGTCTTCCAGATGTTTGATTATAATGTGGAATTGCTTTTGGAGAGAGCTCTTTTATCCAAGTCTTTCTCCTAGTAAACTCTGCTATTGAAATTTTATGTCTTGGGTGATCTTACAGTGATCACAGCCTTAATGCCCAAAAGCCCTAAATAAAATTATACACCACTCAAGTGTTCTATAGCATCGCACAAGTCTAAAATAGGTAACTGGCACCCACCCCACACCTCATTGTTGGCTAACTGACCTGTCCCATAAATAGTTCAGTGTTACGTGATTAGACAACTACAACGAACAGAGAAGGGATTTTTGTTTCCTAACACAGATGTGTATCTCTGGTATTCAATGAAGTCAAGATCCAGCTGACCAAACCCTGACTGTAGCATGGTTCTTAGAATGGTGCAAATCAGTAGCCAGATCATTTTGGATGGGCTTCAGGGTAGCTCTGCCTGACACCATGGACGGATCTGAGCAGGACAGTTGTAGCACCTCTGTATATGTGAGAGTAATGTTGCTGCAGACCGTATGGTTAATCTAGAGAGTTTCTGCCAAATGCATTAAAAGTCCTCAGGTGAGTCTGAGAAGGCATCATGGTAATTTTTTTTTTTTGAGAGGGCATCTCTCATATTTATTGATCAAATGGTTGTTAAAACAATAAAATTCTGTATAGGGAAGTCAATGCTCACAATCATTAATCCACCCCAAGCCTAATCATCATGGTAATTTTTTAAAACCAGTTTTCTGAAATCAAGAGCATGTTTTTTTTTTTCCTTTGGTTTTCCCACACAAGAGATTTTATTATCTGCAAGAGAAAATGGCTGCCCCCAGAGAGAGGGAGCAGCCAAGAGCATGTCTTAAAAAACCTACCAGCTACTGGAATATAATGGTTCTTGTTTCTAACTCTTTTGGAATGTATTGTTTTTATGTCTGAAAGATTTTTAAATGCTATAACCTAACAGAACATTGCTTCATAAATTCCTTAGCAGTAACTCAGATGGTGAACCTTGGGGTATTTTTCCACATAAATCTGTGCCCTTTGTGTGCAGAGCTTTGCTGCTTAGGTAACTAGTAATAGTACATAGGGTTCAATCCATGCTTTACATATTTTTACTTTTCTTTTACTGGATCTTTTCAAAATGGCAATATGTTTATTGCATTTCTTAAAAGTCAAAATAGCAAATCTAAAATGAGTGATTAAAAAAAGTCTGTACTATTTATCACTACTGTTGAAATACTGTTTTTTTTAATTAAGGTATTACTAATAAACACTCTCATGAAGGTTTCACATGAAAAAACAATGTGGTTATTACATTTACCCATATTATCAAGTCCCCACCCATACCCCATTGCAGTCACTGTCCATCAGTGTAGTAAGATGCCACAGATTCACTATTTGCCTTCTCTGTGCTACGCTGTCTTCCCAATGACCCCCCACATCATGTGTACTAAACCTAATACCCCTCAGTCCCCTTCTCCTTCCCTCCCACCTGCCCTCCCACCCCAGTCCCCTTTGGTAACCACTAGTCCCTTCTTGGAGTCTCTGAGTCTGCTGCCATTATGTTCCTTCAGTTTTGCTTCGTTATTATACTCCACAAATGAGGAAAATCATTTGGCACTTGTCTTTCTCTGCCTGGCTTATTTCACTGAGTGAAATACTGTTTACTGTGGCTTCAGAAATTAGAGAATATGTCTGTGATATCAAAGCTGTAGGCAGTTCTTCCCCTAATGCTGGCTTTGTACTTCTGCTTATAGGACTTTGGCACATTTGATAGTGAAAGGTTCTTAGACACAGTTATATATACCTTTCTGTGGCCACACTGAATGTCTGTATTTTTAAAACACTTTAAAGCTAAGTTAGGTTCAAGAATACTGATCTTTAGTCTACTAAAAAGGGCTTAAAATATTTCTCTCTAGCTCTTATAACTGAATGAAAATTTACTCTAGTGGATTTAAAAGAGGAAGGAGAAAAACCCACCCAAACTCTGATTGTTTGTTTAACAGATTGTAAACCATGGCTGTGTGGATACAAGCCCAGCAGCTCCAAGGCGATGCCCTTCATCAAATGCAAGCATTATATGGTCAGCATTTCCCCATTGAGGTGCGGCATTATTTATCCCAATGGATTGAAAGTCAGGCATGGTAAGTGAACAGCTTTTTCCATCATAGTTTGTGAAGCACAGCATATATTGATTGGGAAGATAACATGATAGAGACTTTGAAAGTTGTGTGTTTAAAAAAATAAAAGGTGATCCTTGAAAGGTATTTAACCCCATCTTAGATTTTAGGGAGATGTAATAACTCTTGGGATTTTTAAAGTAGGATTTGTTCCTTTTAATAGTAAATCCTGGCTAAAAGTATTAGACTATTGCTGGTAATAAAAAAAATTAGCAAACACATGTTGAATGCCTATAGGATGTCTAGCAGTGTTATGGGTACTAGAGTTCATATGAAAAAATTAAAGCCCTTATCCACAAAGAATTTAGTACTTCATTGAGCAGATAAGGTATGCATATAATTTAATAAAATGTATTGTTAACAAATTTAACAATGGAGACACTGGTGTTTTTTTTATTTGTATGTAGCATATATACACATAAAGACTAAAAAGCAATACAGTACACCAAAATATTAACAGTAATTACATCTTAGTGGCAGTTTGTTAAATAAAAATTAATTTTTATATACTCAGAGGTAAAGTTTTTAACTTCTTTCAGAATTAGTACAATGCAGTAGACTGACAGCAAAGCTTTCTAATGAACAGCATTATTGCACACAAGGCAGCAGGCTGTCAGCTGCTCTGCTGGGGGCCCGGGAGCATAATAAGCATGTTGGTTGGTTACTGGTCTGTCAGTCTGACCTGACATATTCATCGGACACTTAAGGCCTCCATCATCATGGCAGGGGTGGGATCCATTTGCCAGCCTTTATGCTGCTGTAGAAAGGTGCTGTATACCTGTCAGCAGTGTTACCTTGGAGTAACTGCAGTCAGGCGTTAGTACCAGATTTCTGTTCAGAAACAGAAAGCACCAAAGGAAGGCAATTTGCTAGGCAATTAAAAACTCTCAGCCTCAGGTAATGAAGTGAGGGAAAAAAAACGACCTAAATGTGAGCATGTCAGCTGCCCCTTGCTCAGTGCTTTTCCATTTCCATTTCTTTTGCTTTTCTGTTTTAATCATTTGGAGGGCTCAGAAAAAACCCTTGTAGGAAGCTTCTGTTGGTTTCAAAGTTCATTTAGTAGATTTCCTATATAGTCTTCTTAATGAATGTAAAACGCTTGTGTTGATATTAAGGAAAACCTGGTTTTTATTTAGTTTATTTAGTTTTGGTTTTCTTAAGAATATAAAGATTTTAATAAAAAATCTTTAGTCCTTCATGTTTAAGCTAAGAAAGTTTTGTGTTTTTTTTTAGCAGAGACCCAAATACCAGAGCCAGTACTTGATTCCATGAGTTTTGTTCAGAGACTAGATCTTCTCAAGAGTGGGTTCCTCACATGAGGAACATTATTACCAGTTGAAACGGAGGTGCCAGGGCTACCCTTCATCCCTCCCAGGCTTTTATTTAATGCACATTTTATTTAGTGCATACATATTTAAAATTTGTCTCCTGTACTGCCTCCTCAAAGTGCAGTTTGTGTGTATTATTTGATGAAGTACCTTATCAGTGTTTGGGTACACTTGTTTGTCCCTTTGTTGAAATTAGTTACTAACTGACTTCAGGGGTTTAGAAATGACAGTGCCTTTTAGCTACCACTAGATCTCTTGTTTGGCTGCAGACCCAGTCAGCAGGAATTGAATGTTATTTCAATCTGACAGCTGTTTGGTTTCTTCAGCTAGCTGAGTTAAGTAATTTAGTACTGCCCAGTGGCAATTGTTGCCTAAATTGTTAAAAAAAAGAGAGTGGGGGTGGGGGGTTGGAGAGAGGAGGGAGGGAAGGAAGGAAGGAAGGGAAGAAGGAAGGAAAAAGAAGGAACCTCTGTCACTGGTTAAATGGCTCTGAATTAATAAAGTTAGTAGAGTGGTTTCTCTGGTTCGCTGGAAGAGTTAGCATTGCCTACAGGTCCCAAATCTTCAACTAGTGATATAAATGTCTGACATACAGGCATCTTCTTTCTTAATATCTCATTTCCAGGGCTCCTTAGAAATAAATGTTGCAATAAATGTTGCACCTGTCTTTACTTAAGAAATACTTTCTGTGAAATTAGCTGCACTTAGAACTAGTCAAAGCTGGAAAAAACATGTAGAACATTCTTGACCTTCTGCCTCCTTACACCCTTGAGTGGGTAACTATGAATAGGAAATTATCGGAGTCCTTATTTCCTTCAGAGTACACAAAGCACTTTCCTTTTCCCTTCATTTCTAGAAGCAGATAGCATAAGCACCAGAGCAAGTCAGCAAGAGGAAGGAGAAAGGGCAGTATCCTGTAAAAAAAAAAAAAAAGAAAAGAAAAGAAAATATACTATATACTATATAGTCCACTAAGGTAATTAGTGGATTAGGAATAGATTAAAGTAGGCATCTAGTCAATTTGAATTGGGCCATTTCCTAAAATTTGCAGTGAGCATTGTGAAAAAATCACTTTAGCAAAAGAAAAGGTGCAATACATTGAGGCTGCATTTTTATACAGGCTCATGTGCATGTATGTATACATATGTATGTAATTTTTTTCCCCTAGGGACTCAATAGATCTTGATAATCCACAGGAGAACATTAAGGCCACCCAGCTCCTGGAGGGCCTAGTGCAGGAGCTGCAGAAGAAGGCGGAGCACCAGGTGGGGGAAGATGGGTTCTTACTGAAGATCAAGCTGGGGCACTATGCCACGCAGCTCCAGGTGCGTGTGAACATCGGCCATGCTGAACTCTTCCAAGAGGGACTCTTCCTTCATTTAGTATGACCTGTAGAGATCTTCTCTCTCTTCTTCACGCCAGGGTTGTTGAGTTATGTGTTATGTGTATACAGCTCTTGTTGTTTGGTTTTGTGGTTCTAGCTGTCTTTCTTTAAACTTTTTATTTGAAAATAGTATCACATTTACAGAAAGGTGCAAGATGGACGCAGAGAACCCCTACATATGTCGAGATTCACCTGTGGTTAACATGTGCTTTATCGTATTCTCTCTCCACACACACACATTTGTCACCACTTGAGAGCAAGTTGCCTACCTCCTGCCCCTTTGCCCCTCAGTACTCCCATGTGCAGTTTCTAAGAACACAGACCTTCTCTGCCATAGTTAGCCCACAGCTGCAACTGTGGTGATAGTTCCTTAGTCACAGTTGTCAACTGCAGTACATCTAACATTGACACAACACTTCCGAGTAATCTTATATCTGTATTTTTGTTTTGTCCTGTTTTTTTCCCTCCAGTCTAGGATCCAGCCCGAGATCACCTATCACACATATTATATCTATTTAATCTGGAACTGTTTCTCAACCTTCTTTGTCTTTCATTACATTGACATTTTCAAATACTTCAGCCCCTCTATTTTTAAAGATAAAAAAAAAGATAGAATGTACTTCACTTTGGGTTTGTGTGAAGGTTCCTCATGATTAGATTTAGGTTATACACCCCTGATCAGAACCATAAAAAAGGATGTTGTGTCCTTTCTCGTGTGTCACATCTGGGGACATCCAGTCATGGCTGGTGGTGCTTTTGATTACCCAGTCCAGGTGGCATCCAGTTTCTTCTCTGAGGTGGCCTTTTTGAAATTTTTCCTATTTTCAGTAATGACTCCCTAGCACTTTAGGCAAATTAGGATACAAGAAATAAAATAATCTTACCTTGTTCTCTTACCTTGTTCCTGTACATGGGTTTCCTGAAGTGTGCTTTTCCTCACCTGCATTGGTATTGTAGACACAGCATTCCTCGTGATTACACCATCGTGTCTCCAGCAGCCTCCTCTATCATATGACCTTACCCTCTGTTCCGAGCTAGGGTTAGGCCCTTTGCAGGGGGTGGAACAGGTG